CCCCACTATGTCCAGTTATTCATGTATGTTCTATCCAAGATTAGTGAGTAACATTCAGGATTTGTTTAGGTAGTTTTGAGGTTTGAACATCTTTGTTATCAAAAGGCTTTGTCAATCAATATTAGTCAATTAATGAATTATTTCCTTATTCCATTCCCAGTTATATCTTTATATTATCTTTGTACCACTTCTCTGAATATCCTTTAAATTAGTTGATTATTAGTAGTTGAACTATATCCGGTCATTTACTCTACCTATATAATTAGTAGCCTATTTAATCGTTTATTCACTTAGCTTAATCATGACTCAATTCATATGTCTAACTAGAATAACTTAGTTAATGACTTACTATTCACATATAGCTTAAAATTTGGTCGGGAACCACAGTTGTGGATCTCAAAGAGTGCTGAACACCTTCTTTTCGAAGTAATTTGAGTCCTTACCCAATCTTTGGCAACACATACTAGTTAAAATAGAGTTATTCACAAAAAGGTGCCCTAATGCACCTTAAAATCATTAGGTGGCAAGTCTCTCTTTTAATACCCATTTAAAAGAGTTGTCACATGTCAAAACTTACTTTCGCAAGAAAATGGGGTGCGACACCTACTACAATGGCCTCTATCGTAATTGCCCTTGCCTCCAGATGAGGCACCACTAAATCTACTAGTATCGAGAGGCTTCTTTGTGTCACGCTCCTCCTTCTCATGCCTACAAATGAGCTCCATGCTCTAGCCATCTCCACCCTTAAGTAAAGGTATTCCTGGTTTCAGTCTCTCGTGCCATCCTAGATCGAATACCAAAATGGAGACCCTCAATAAATCTCGTCACCTTTTTTGCCCTGGTGGGAATCAAGAAAGCTACATAGTAAGATAATTGAGTAAAGCTCATCTCATACTCAATAAAAGACACATGATCTTGCTGCAGGTGCTCAAACTTTCTAGGCAACTCATTCCTCCTAGTGAGTGAAATGAACTTACCCAAGAAGAGAGTCAACAATTGAGTGCAAGTGAGAGGATGTGAACCTGCTAGCCTACTCGGCTCATAAGCAATCTTGAGCATAAACTGTGTGATCACCATCAAAACGTGGATGATATAACTTCTTGAATTGATCCATCATCTTCGGCTCCTCCACAGTCGTAGCGGGACTAGCCTCTGGCCGTGGTGCAACTATAGGCTAAACTACCCCAACTGATGAAACTCCTGGAGTCTAAAAATTAATAGTGACCTGCTCCAGGGTATAACTAGCTGGGGTCTAGGCTCTCCCTCCAGCTTGTGAAGTAGCTAAGACCATATGTATCATCCTTGCATGTCACATGCTCCCAAAGAAACTAACAATCAGACCATAGTCTCCTAAAGCACTGGAGTAGCAATAAAGCCTTTAGAAACATGTGCTGGACCCGGCAGAGCAATCTGATCTAGGACCTAATCTACCTCTGGAGATGCAGGCAGCTCAACTAGATTATCTCTAGTACGACAATGAGCATCAATGGGTGCTCTACCTCGTGCGGGTTCCATTGTGTGTGTTTGGTCTAAGCTTCAGCTCTACCCCAACCCTCACCTTTCCAAGCTCTAACTTGGGATATTAGCTCTTGCTCAGTAGCTGCCGATGCATGTGTCCTCACCATCTACAAGAGAATAGAAGAGTAAAGGTTCAAACATCAATATGAAACAAGGTTGCATGATGATGAGAGAAAGAAATGCAAGTTTCCTTAATTTGTTGTATCCCTTCACAGATAAGTATAGATGTCTACCTACTGATTCGCATGACTCTACTAAACATGTCTATGACTCGTAGAACCCATGAATCTAGAGCTTTGATACCAACTTATCACGACCCAAAATCTCCCATGGCCACGATAGTAACTAACCCAACCCATTAGATGAACCAACACACACAAATAACCATTAAAAAAATAATGTATAAGTGCAGAAATAAGTCAAGCATCAACATCAAGTGTGAAATACTATATCAACCCCCAAGGACCAGTAGTACAAGTCATGAGCCGCTAAACGAAATACAACAGCCTCAAAATACAAAATACTATCTAGAACAAGAAATAATAGATAAGATAGAGAGAGGCTCCATAAGCTATAAATCCAAGCACAACAGCTCACCAAGAAGTCTCCAGCACGCTCCTACGCTCCCTCCTAAACATCGCCAGGACCAATGTCAGGATTTGTACAAAAATATATAGAAGTATAGTATAAGTACATAAAGATAATGTGTACTCAATAGGTATCAAATCTAAGCCCAATAAGGTAGAGAAAAGTTTTTAAGAAATGATACTCACTTTTTATAACCTGTTCAGTTCATAAGTATACACAATAATTGAGAAGTAACCAAGAAACAATGTACGAGAAAAACACAGTTAAAGTAGGAGATAATAAGCATGATTTCTCAGACAAAGTGATCAAAATAAAAAAATCAAGGGACCAGATCCGCATATATAGAATATATGCAATAATTAGAATTTATATGAATACTTCCAAATGAGTCTAGAATGTTTATGCATGATAATGACTCAAACTTTATAACAACAAGTACTTTTTGTGCCCCGATACTCCATATGTTGAACCTTGTGTATGCCAATAAGAAAGAAACGTGAGAGGGTGACTCATGAGGAATAAATTCATATTCACACGCTATATCCAAGAATAATAGATCAATAATCAATCATAAATAATCACCTCAATCCACACAAACAACTCGTATGCCATAAACATATCAATCTACATGGACAGCTCACATAACATAACCTCAGTCCATATAAGAGAACCATATACAGGGATACATGCATATGTAAAATAGATAAGAGTATCTATGGATAAGAGAGATAAACATGCAGGGTGTACGCATGTGTACAGTGTATGACTATGGCTACGACATATAATCCAACATTCAAATAGCCCATCATTTCTAGATAAGGTACCAAAACCCTATACATAAATTCTATCATGAATAATAAATGCTCAAGTAGTCCAACAAACAAATAAAGCATGTTTAGCACATGTGTCAAAACAAGGCATAAGGAAGCTTAAAATCTAGCCAAAACATGATATAACATGGGTGTCACACCTCCTATTTACTACCCAGAAGGGTATAAGGGAGTGTTTTCCAATTTAAGTGACAATCGAAACGGGATTATTCATATTAAAATCATAGTTGCCACTTGAGATAATTTATGGTGTCCTAAGTCACCGGTTTAAAATCTCGAATCGAGGAAGTTTGACTCTTATTTATGGTCTGCGAACACAGAAATCCGGGTAAGGAATTCTGTTAACCCGAGAGAAGGTGTTAGGCATTCCCGGGTTCCGTGGTTTTAGCACGGTCTCTCAACTATTATTATTGGCCTAATTATCTGATTAACTACATATTTTAAACTTATTGTGCATTTTATTCCTCCTACCACTTTTAAAAATTCGCGATTATCATACAGCTAATTATTTGATTACACATTACGAATCATGTTACGGGAATCGTACCCATGATCTACAACATGTTTATTTTATTAATAAGATTAAATTGCGGTCGGGTCACATAAATGTACCCCCGGATTTGGAATTTACATATCATGACCATACCAGGGGAACCGTACTCATGTCCATGATAATTTATTATTAATTGCGCCTAAAGCAAGCTACAATATTTCATAAATTTGTTATCCTAAAAAAACCTTTGAGGTTATATAAATTAACAAGAACAAGGTTTTGATCTAGCTTGCTACTTCATTTCTTCAGTAACAAAACTTTTAGAAAGTGTTATTTTTAAACTTTCTTTCTAAATAACTAGCCAACAAAATCAGAATGAAGCAAAAGAACTTGTTTATTTAGTAAGAATCTAGATAACTAAAAAAATGATAATCACATTGTCATACCAATATTTTAAAATTACTCTTTAGATTCAAACTTCAAATATACTTTCCTGAGACATTCAACATGAACTAATTTCACACAGAACTTTCGGCAACCATTCATCAATTACTAGAAAGAGATTCTCAAATCGCAAACTAAGAAATCTTAAAATGAAAACCAATACGAGCACACAAACATATAGATAATTCCAAAATTGTACAGTAGGTCACTTAAATAAACTCAAATTAAACACTAAGCACATGTAATGTACCAATAAGAGTGAGTAAGAATAATAAAATCGGACCTTTATTGTTGCGCTTTCTTTAACGTATACAATGAGAGAAGCCTCCGATACAATGAACCAAAAAGCGAGCTAATGACCTGAACCTCGAACCGACGATTAAGCCTCGAACGGACATCGATGACCTCAAACCAACCTCGTCTTAAAACTGTTTTGCTTGAGTTTTCGAGAAGAGTAGCAGGCTGGTTTCTGGTGTGATGTCGTGAATGGGAAGAAGCAGAAGAAGCGACTGGGTTTATCCTCACCAGATTCTGGCAGTAAAGAGATGGCTCCAGCTGCTGCTGTCTCCGGTGAGTTCCAGGTGGTGTGAGAGGTGTGTGTAGCTGGGAGTTCTAAGTGTGTGTACTCTTCGGCTGGGGAATGGCTATAGCACAACTTCATTGGAGTCTAGGATTTTCCTTGTGTTCTCTAGGTTAGTCGAGGAAGAAGAAGAAAAGGCTGGGGGGGAGGGTCCTTGGTGTATTGCGGCTCAAGCTAAAGGATGAAGAAGATGAAGTTCTAGGGTTTTTTGAATGTGAAGGAGAAGAAAAACAAAAATCTGAAGGGGGTGACGAAGAAAACAATCTTCAAGGGGGGTCTCCTATGAAAGCGGCTGCTGATCCTTAGAGTGTATATGTCCTCCTTCTTTTAGGGATTCTAGGTTTATTTTATTTGTGTAGTGTGCTGATGGGTTAAGGTTTGGGCTTTTGGGTTAATGGGCTAAGAGATTAGCTTAATTGGGCTAAAAGCAAGACTAAATTAGTCCAAAAAATTGATTCTATTCCCTTCTCCTTTTTTGTATGTAAAAATAATATAGCAAACAAGATAAATTATTAAAAATACTACTTAATCTTACTTAAGAAAATAACTATTAAAATAACACTAACCATTAAAACAAATTTATTTTTGGTACTTTTGCAAGATTAAAAATGACTACAAAATATTAATGAAACTATTTTTTTGTAATTTTTATTTTTTGTGATAAAATAAAGTAAAAAGGGTCATAACTAGTTGAAATAACTATATTAGACCTAAACTAAGTATTTAAATGCTAAAATATGTAAAATCTTAGGGAGGGTCAAAAATTACATGTCTACAGCTGCCCCTCTTTGACTGGAAATATGAAGTATTTTCATACAAAGAACGACTAGACAAATTTTTTGACTCGACTCTTATTTAGAGAGACCAAAAAATAAAAGAAAGGAGAATGTCATTGAGTCCTAGTATTTGAGCTACCTACATATCCCTGGCTATAAAGGAATCAGGCCACGTGTAGTTCAGAAGTAGGAACAGTGATGGAGTATACTGAAGTGGAGAGCCGGTCGAGGTGTCGTTCCATCGAGGTTCAGGTCCGCAATCTGTTATTACATCAAAATCAAAAAAATTAAAAAGACTAACTAAGTCTGTCAACTATGAATTACAAGATTCCTATCTATAAGTCTTCTGAAGCTTGATCTTGAGTCTTGAATGGTTCTTCATGCAGACTTTAGATTTGAACCTTGATGGTTGCTAGCTGCAAGTTCTAGTTCATTCTTCTTCGGATCGAGAACAGACATGCAATGCTCGTGATTTCAGCGGTCATGTCTTGAACAGTTCACATCTTTCTCTAATTCTGCATTTTGGATTCACTTCTTTCTTCTCTCTTTTTTAATATTTTTTTTTAATTCTGGATTGTGACTAACTTCTGTTGATCATCTCGGACTGTTGACTCGCATTCTTCCCATGAGCTTCTACTACTTCTAACTTGAATTGAATTCTGAAATGACTTCCCTTGTTCTCCAGGTAGGCGCCTGATTGCCAAAACTTGAACTATATTTCCTTGTTCTCTATGTGGACGCCTAATTGACAAAACTTGAATTGTATTCCCTTGTTTTCTAGGTGGGCGCCTGAT